TGCCTTGAAAATTTGAACTCATGGGAACAAAGGTGGTTTTCTTTTCAGTTGGAAAGACACAAAAGCAGTTCCAATTTTTTTGATCTTGTGTAGCTTTTTTTTTTTTTTTAACAAGATAAAGATTTTATTGGCACAAGTTTGCAATGATCTGCAGAACCTTCTTGTCTGCTGCAGTGATCCTCAGACACCTGGTCAATCATTCCAGATCTAAATTCCATGACAGTCTAATTTATAACAAGCAGAAACGTACCTTGATCACAGGTACTTGCAATACTGCTACAATTCAAAAGTAACATCAGTTTTGCCGAAGAGAGAAACTGGCTGTCAGCTTTCCAGAGCAGTAACTGTGCAACAGGCAAACTTGAGGGCACAGATCTTTTTTCAGCTACACTGCTGGAAGCTGCTTTAGATGTATTGGCACTTTTTTCCCACTGCTGTATACTGAAGATATTTGCACTATACGTGTATTTCCTCTTGTATATTTATTTGCAAGTACTCTATTTGCCTTTTACATTTATCTGATTTCTTCTGAATTCCCTTTGAATTAAGCTGAGCTACAAGAATTCTTGGGATTTCATGAAGTCCACTCCAATCGTGATTGCTGTTACTGTCAAGCCCAACCCATGAAATTACTGAAGAAGACTGAAGAGAAAAATATTAGGTTATAAAGGTAATTTCTATATTATAGAATTGCAATAAATTATATTCCTCCTCAGTAAGCCATAAAACCAAGTCTGTCACGGTTTTTCATTAATGCAGCGCCTCTTGGCTCATTAAAATCTCTTGATGGTGATCACTTTGCTATGTGCAAAGTATATTTTTTGAGACGATAACAAAGAAATTCTCAATGTTTGTGAGATGTTCCTGTTAAAACTCCTATGAATCCATTAAATTATAAGAATAAGCTGCTTCTGTCCTAGTCTGTATGTGCATCAGTTTTAATGAAAAGGGAAAAGTAAGTTATAAGATGTGTGCTCACTATTTATAAAGCAGAAGTGTATTTAGCGTCAACAAAATGTATGTTGGGATTTTACACATTGCTGTACTGATACACTAATGGTTGCACTTATTTGTTAAAAGACCAAAGGCTTATCAAGTGTTTGCTATAAATGCATTTTAACCACCCAGCAAGACTAATACCACTGGGAAGGACACTGCTCATAGAGGAGTGACAGAACTTAGTAGAAGCAAATAAGGCTGTCTGATCTACACTAAATCAAGCATGTAGAACTGTTCAAAATGAACGTCTGTGTTGTGTGATTCAGGGTGTTTACAGCATTTGTGAATCATAGGACTCTTTTCAGTAACTATAAACATTATGTCACTTGTAGCCTCCTTGGTAAAACACACTTTAACTCTTTGTTGAAAGCGTTCTTTTACTCATGTCTGCTAAGACACTTCTTCCAGGTCTCAAGCTTACCCACTACTGCCCAGCAGACATCTTCCACCACTGAACTGTTCTTTTAAAGACAGTGATTGCAAACCTGCTGCCACTTGGCCTGGCACAGAAGAATCATCACCTCTTCTGTTCTTCAGCCGCAAAACATTTTGTATCTACATCCAGACAAACCACTACACCATGAAATGACTACCAAGGAAACAGACATTGACTGCTTCATTCCAGTTTCCACATGACATTTCGTATCACAAAATACCTTTCACATCAATACTGCCTGAGATCAGGCCTGTATAGCTGCTTTTCTTGACAGATATTCACAGCTCTGGAATGTCTGTTAATAATAATGATTGAGCTGTAGGACATTTCTTGGAAATTAATGATTGGCTAGAAAGCTCCATTGACTGAATGCTCAGCAAAGGACTACTTTCTCTGTCAAGTAATCAGGGAAATAGTCAAAGGATGCATCAATGCTGATTGATGCAACCTTGAATGATGATCAACACATTACCAACAAAAATTAAATACAGGTTTTTGAACACAGTAATTGCAATTGCTCCATATGGTCTGACTGTTCTATACTCTTCATATTTGCCACCACCTCAACATTCAGGTTGACTCACTTTGTCTTCTAATTTTACTCTTTTTAAACTCTCTTATTTACATAAACATCCTGCAAGAATCAGTTCTATGTACAATTCCACACAGAATTCAAGAAACAGAGCATGAGTGTATGTGCAGGTTCCATGTGACATGAGTATACATTGCTACTGAATTTATCAAAAAAGGTGCCTTTTTCTAGGTTAAAGCTGAACCACAAGTATTGTCATTGATCAACATCATCTTGGTGAAAACAAGTCAAAGAAATTAGAGGGGAAATATAACAAGAATTTTGTATACGGCTGGTGTCTAAAATAAGAATTCCACTTAATTAAATGGATATGCACTTGAGAAAAGAGAATTCTTGAGGTTCGGGTTGCAACATTCATACTTTCAGTTATTTCAGAGGCAATGAACATTCCTTATGGGATAAATCTGTAGAAAAGTAGGTAATTATTACTTGCCTTAAAGCAATGTTAAAAAGAGAAGTCTTGAAATACTTGAAGTTTTGAAAGTGGAAGATGATGGTGCAACACTGGGAAATCTTCCATGTTTCTCAACTTGTTAAGCACAGCTGAAATAAATGAGATATATATTGACTGACTTTATCGTGAAAAGCTTTATAAAATCACACAATGACCCAAGATATGCCTCAGTACTTTATGTAATACTCATTTCTCTCAACTAGTTTTATTTCCATTAATGTAACTAATGGGTTTATATTTTGGTCATGCAGGTATTCTTAGAACTATATGCTATGGAGCCATTAAAGCACACTGACACAGGTCTAGTAAAAAAGTTTTGTGCCCCAATCTAGAGCAACTCCAGTTCACTATTAGAATTCTAAGAGATGGTGCAGCTAAAGTAACTTCACTGCGAATACAACTAACTGGCAGAGACAGCACAACAACTAAAGTAACTTATAATTAATTAAGGACAACATGATTTATGAGTTCTGGGTTCCATGGGTCTGATCCAAAAATCTCTTATTGCTATAGAAAACAGTTTTTTTTTCAAGGAGGTTTGATAACCCTGTTTTTTCCAAGCACATGCCCCTTAGGGTTGAGTTCTGATCTCACGGACCTGAATCCCATAGATGTCAGGTCCTAGCCTAAACCCTTTGGGCTTCTTTTTTGTAGGGGAATTCTTAAGGAAAACCCTAGGAACTCAGCAAAACAAGAAACTTGTACCATGTTTAGTCAGGATTAATAGCCCATAAAAAAAATGGGTTTTGGATGTTATTATTTCTGCACATGTATAGCACTAATCATGCAAAATATTTAAGCAGCTTTTTAGCCGTCAAATCAACAGAGAAACTTGCATAATCTTAAGTGCTTGACAGTCTGGACCTTAAATGTCCCTAGATGCAATAATAAGTATGGAAAAGGTTCATTTTCTGCAGTATTTTCAGCACAAACTGCATCACAAAGTGTTAAATAATAAATAGCAGAGAGAAGTATACACAAGGGAGGAATGATAAGATTTCAGAGGAGACTTGAAAGGGGATGTTGATGAGGTGGAGGTTTTAAGATAATTAAATATTAAAACCTAGAAAGGCTGGTTTTTGGCTGGGACTGATTGTTTTTCTCTACTGAGAAATAAAGGGGCTTTCTAACCTACCTCCTGGACAAAGATGCCAGGCTTACTGTCAAACTGTTCAGTGGAATCATCACTGTACTTAGAGTCTATTTTTAAAAGAAGGCAAAGGATCACAATTAGCTAACTACAGCTGTCTCCGATTCCAAACGTCTTCTTTGTCCTCTGCCTCACCTTTCCATTTATCTACCGTGTAACAACCCCACACGGACTTGGCCCAAGTTCCTGAAGTGCGCCAGGGATGCAGAGGGAGAGGGAGGGCAGCCTGCCATGGCAGAGCCCCAGTACACCAGCCTTCCCCAGAGCCAAGGGCAGCCAGCGAGGCCACGGCAAAAAACTTCACAGACGTGCCCCGAGGAAAAGGGAAGCGGCTTTCAGCACCAGCCCACACTGTTAAATCACGCCATAGTGGGCTTATTTCCTACATTTGGTGGCAGCATAGTATTCAGGATAATATTATTGCTACTTGCACAGGTTACCGCCGAAGCAAACGACAGAGATGAGAGAGTTAAGTAACAGGGATGGAGAGCGAATCACTAAAAAGTCTTTCCCAGAGTCAGTTCTCTGTTTGGGGGAAGTTATTTCAATTCTGTATCTCGCAAACAACCCGCTGCCTCACCGTGTCCTCTGGAGCCAACTGACTGACATTATAAGGAAATTTTTAAATAAATGATGTGCAGGAGCAGCTCATGTTTAGCAGACAAAGCCCTGCTCGGCAGCACGCACTGCGAGCACAGCCGTACCTGTGCTCGGCACGCCGGGGCCAGGGCAGCGCCCGCTCCCGCCCGGCCTTAGCAGAGGTGCGGCCCCATGGGCGCCGCTCCGCCCGCGGCACCTGTCTTTGCCTCGCAGGTGAGTGTGTCTCCGGAGAGCGCTCGGAGAGGAGCTCCCGGGAGAAGGAACGCTCTGCTTATCGGCAGAGGAGCTCTCCTGCCGCGGGGCTGCCCCCGGCTCGCCCAGTCCAGCCCGGGCCGGCTGCCCGCTACCCCGCTAAGCGCGGGGCGGGCTGAGGGAGGCGGGCGACGAGGAGGCGCTCCCGCGCTTTTGGAGACGCACCTGTGGGGAGCGCCCGCCGGGGTGGGAAGTCTCTTATGTAAGGGATGGAGGGGAGCGGTGAGGGGAGCGAGGTGGGGGTCGGCTCTGCAGCGGGGTTGATGTGAGGAGGGAGAGCCCCACAGAGGTGCTGGAAGGGAGGGAGGGAGAGAGAGAGGGAGGGAGAAGTCGCCGGCCCCTCAGCGGGGCTGCCGGAGGGGACAGGCGGGCGGGAAGCCCCGACTCTGGCACGCAGCTTCCCGCGGCCGCCTCAGAGGACGGGCTGGGCTCTCATCCCTGGCACCACGCTCGCCCTCCCGCCCGCCCGCCACGGCGCATCTCCCTTCCCCGGTAGCTGAATGCCGCGGCAGGTCCGTCCAGCCTCCTGCGCCCTGCCCAGGCAGCCCGGCCCCAGGCGGGGCTCGGCGGACGCCGCGTGTGTGTGAGGGAGTTGTGCGAGAGACCGCGCCGGGCTCCGCGGGGAAGCGGAAGGTGGGTGCCCCTCGGCGCCCCAGGCTGGCACCAGGCTGCGCGGGGAGGCTCCTCGCTCTCCCTCTCTCTTCCTCCCGCCCCTGCAGCGCCCTCGCCTCAGCCCTCCCGCTTGGCGGCCCCTCCACGCCCCTCTCGCCAGCCCGGCGCGGTGCCCCGCACGCCGCCGCCACCTCCACCCCTCGGTCCTCCTCTTCCTCCTCCTCCTCCTCCCGCGCTCCCCCTCACGCGCACTCCGCTCCACAAGTGCCGCGCGCTCGCTGCTCCGGAGCGGAGCGGAGCCGGGCTGCGGACCCTGCGCGGGGGCTGCGGACCCTGCCCGGCCCGTTCGCGGCTGTCCGTGGTGCTGGAGGCGAGCGCGGGCTGAGCGGACGCCCGGCCCCTGACGGAGCCCCTTTATGTTCAGCTCCTGGCGCAGCGCAGCATCCAGCAGCTCGAGCGGCGGCGGCGGCAGCAGCATCGCTGAGCCGGGGCTGGGAGGCAGAATGGAAGGCTTTATTCGCCTGCTCTTCGGCTACTTGGTGGCGGACCTTCTAACGCTGGTGTGCCGGGCTCAGGAAAAAGCTGGCCAGCAGCTGGGGAGCTTTGTGGTGCTCTCGGGAGGAAACCACTCCAGCCTCGGGGAACAGATAGACCCCTCCGAGCCACCTCCCACCCCAGACTTCTGCAGGGGCTACTTTGACGTGATGGGGCAGTGGGACCCCCCCTTTAACTGCAGCTCGGGGGAGTTCATCTTCTGCTGTGGCACTTGTGGCTTCAGGTTTTGCTGCAAGTTCAAGAAGACAAGGCTGGATCAAAGCACCTGCACAAACTATGAGACGCCGTTGTGGATGAACACTGGGAAGCCTCCTTCCCGCATAGACGACCCTCTGCATGATCCTACCCGGGATAAAACCAACCTTATTGTCTACATCATCTGTGGGGTTGTAGCAGTCATGGTGCTGGTGGGAATCTTCACCAAACTAGGGCTGGAGAAGGCACACAGACCCCAGCGGGAGCACATGTCCAGGTAAGGCTGAGTGCCAGGCAGCAGAGTCCCCTTTCCCTTTCCCCCCTACCTCCTGCCCAGCTCCTCGAGAAGAGAGAGGAGCCCATGTGTCCCTGCCAAACAAACAACTCCTGCCAGGTAGGCTGCATTTCCCTGCAAGGCGACCGAGAGAGACCAACTTTACAGAGCAGAGCTCCTGTGGTGCCCCCAGCCCGGGTTATCACAGAACATGCATATTGAGGAAGACTAAGGATAATTGTGGAGTCTGCACAGACAGTAGTCCATTTTTATCTGCAGTGCGTGACCCTCTCCCTAACAAGATCCAGCAAGTGTTCCCAGATATACTGTGCATAAATAGAAAAACAAAAAAAATCTGAAACCAGCAACACTGAATTATAGAAAGCCTGATGCGTTCCCTCTTCCAACAGTTTCAAAGATTGGAAAATGTTTTTACTTCTCAACAGAAGGATGTAAACAAATGCCATCTCACCCTCCCTCTCCAGCTGCAAAATGGTTTTGGCAGGACCTTCCCTACTCCCCCAGCCCTTGCAAGTGTGTGAGCTATTTGTAAAATTTCTAAGCTGTGAAAATGAGTCAGGGTGGAAGGGAAGAGGAAGACACAAAAAGGAAAAGCTATTGTAGAATTTCTTAACATTTTTTCAGTTACTGTTGTGAGGTAAAAAATGGAATATGAAAATCTTGCCTCAGCCGTGTGTGTGTGTGTTCTGACTCCGTCTCCACGGTGTAATGGCTGAGTTGTATCAAAGAGAACCCCCCCACCTAGAGTTAGACATGCTGTGTACAATCTACTCCAGATCCTGGCTGCCTAGTGGTGGATAGGCAGGTGGGCAACTCGGGACAGAGCCCAGCATCTTTAACAACAAATTCCAAACCCAGATTGTCACAGCAGTTCAAAATCAAGGCATAACACATTTGTCAAGTTTGCAGCCTGTCTAATTCTTTATGCTAATCCCAGGCACATGAAAGTAAAGCAGATGGGGAAAAGTCATTAAAAAAAGCAAACAGATCCATTAAAGAGTCTAAATAGATCCCAGCATATTGGGCAACTTTAGTGATGAAATGCAATGAAAGGATACCTTCTACTGGATGTGCAGTGTGGCAGAAAACTTCCTCTTGCCCTGACTACTAATGGTGTAGCTCACAATCTTTAAGGCTTAGATGAAGAGTCATCCTTTGAAAGACAGTCCAGGAGATGAACCCAACACCTGAAGCCTCATTTTTACTGAAGTTTCTGCATGACTTTTTGATTAACTGTTTATGCTGAAATGAACAGAGAAAGTCACAGAAATATTCCTGACAATGCATCACTGGTCCATGAGCTATTATTTGCTATTTATAAACTGGCTGATATGGATATGCTTTACTACTGAGGAAAAAAGCACGTTGCAGAAATTTTAGTCAACAGCGTGTGTCAGTGATACTTCTGCAAAGATGGTTTTTGTTGAGGAAGGTATGCTAATCCTTTAAACTCTTTGCATATAAATTGAGAAAAACAATACATAGGTCCCAATTTATTTTTTAAATTTTAATCTACAGAGCTTGTTTGCGAAAAGCTCTCCCTTGTTTCAGTTTCTCTCTATAGTGTCTCTGTGCAGGCAAAAAAAAGAGGGCTCGTAACAATCACAAAGCCCAGAATAAAGTGAAATTATAGCCACCCCTGCAAATTATGGCTTAAATAGGTCCTGCTTCTGTGAGTAGAAATATTTGCTATCTAAAGTACAAGTGTGAAGTATTCTAAAAGGATATTCAGTTTATGGAAGTAGAATTATGGGAGATTCCGATACCCTTCAGTCATATATGTATAAAGATTAGGTTTCTGAAGTGGGTCTCAGCAAAGGTCGTCTCTTACCTTGATTACTTAACAGTGTCTGTGATCTTGTACATGAAACTGTTCAAGGCAGGATTATATAGAAACTTGGAAAGTCATGATCACATGGGAAAACAGTCACCCACTCAGTACACATAATAGCTAGTCATGTTCTGAAAAGGATCTATAGCTTTTTTTTTTTAAAAACAGTTCTCTCATTCTAGTTGTGGGATGGGTTTAACATTAATTTGAAAAGGAATTAGATTTGTAAATCCCTTTGGCAATCTATAAATATATTCATTGAGTGAAGAATTGAAGTAACCTCTTAGTCCTCCAGTGAGTGTTTAACTTAAATATTCCATTCTAGCTCATTTTACACTAGTAATGTTCTGAAAAAAGGCTGCGATGTTTAAAAAATAATTTATCTGTTCAAACACTTAGTACCAACAATTGATATATGTAGGCTGTGTTCATAGTCACCTTCTTTTATAACATTCATCACTACAATATCAGAAAAACAAAACAAAAAAGAACACCTCCTATGGTTTTTTTTTCTATACTCAACCTTATTAATAAGCAGAAGTTTAATGCATCAAGAGTGTTAGGTAGGCCAAAGCAAAAGTACTAAGTGTTACTCCATTTTGGCTGTCAGCAAGAAATGCACAGGGAATGATTTGTCATCTACCCCTTTAGCTAATATTGTCTCCTTTCCCTTGCCTAGCCAATGGCTACAAGAAACATTTGAATCCCCTTCATTTCCATGAACAAATTCACCTAGAAAAGAGATAGCACTGCTTATCAAAAAAGACAATGCATAATGGAAAATGTTTTTTTTGGGGGGAGGCTGATATTTTAAGATAAATGAACAACTGAGTACAACTGGTGTAAATGATATATTTCCATTTTTGGTTTACTAAAAATATTTCAAAATATGAACAGAGACCTGACACATGGAAATAAGAATATTGACTTCTAAATAGGAAGCAAAACTGTGCCACACTTTTTAATTCCTTGCATTACTTCATCTTAAAGTCAGTAGAATCTGCTGCTGAAGTAAGACACTGGTGTGTGTAAGAGTGGTACAACATTAATAAAACTTTATTAACTGAGCATAGTTTCCATACAGCTACCTTTAATTAAGTTTTGTTAAGTACTATACCAAAACAAACCAAGAACACTCCATTAAGTTAACTTCATTTAATGCTATTAACTGAATTTTCCTGAAATATTTGACAATGAAAAAAGCATTTAATGTATTTAATTAGTGAAAAAAATCCATAGGAAAAAGTCTCTATTGGGCAAGTCTCTTTAGTAAAAAAGTCAAGACTTGTACTTTTTTAGAGAACTTGTTACTTCCTTTTGTTTTCAGGAAACAGGTCAGGTATGGCATGGTTGACATTTTCTTTTTGTTGGCATGGAACTCTAAATTTGGAAGATGAACGTGGAGAGGGGAGTACAGCATTAGCTCTGCATGGTGTACTTAATTTTAGACTTCGCATGTTTTGTTTCTCCTCATTTTAAAATCTGTTCCTTGATGTTAAAAGGAGATGAGTATTCCTTTCAGCTACAGTGTTCAAGACTAAGCAGTAATACTAGTATCCAGAACAGCTTTTCCTTTCCCCTCCTGTTTTTGAGGAGAATAAGGAAATCAGATGGTGTAGGAGGGAGCTATGGCAGAGGGAGGGAACGTGGCAGTATGTGCATGAGAGGACAGATTTGATCTGCCTGCTGAAGCAGACCAGGAGCTTTGTTAGGCATATGAGGGCAGCACGTTCTTGCTGCTTAAGACTACACCAGTGGGTCTGGCAGGCTCCATCAGTTCAAGTGGAGAATTGTCTCTCAAAAATGAATAGAAAATGAAAAAGCTTTACCTCTGTTGCATGGAGGAGATTATTCTGCAAATACAACTGCACCTTTGTATTCTTCTGTAATCCTTTTGGAGAATGTGCAAACAAACCAGGAATTGAAAGGACAATGTTTACAATCGTGCTCTTATGCTGTAACTCCTGTTTTTTAAAACAGTGCTTCTGACAGTGTGCTAGCAGTCTTCCAAATATTGTGAACTATCTGAGCTCTTCTTTCTTCTGTCACAAGGAAGAAAGTACCCAGTGCTGAGTTCAGGAGTGCTGAGTCTTTTATTGATCATTTAAAAGACATGTTGTTGGGGCCAAAAATAGCCTGTCTTGCCAAAATCCCAAATCCTGCATGTGGAATTATTTCCCTTATGGGTTTTGACCCAGTTTTGGAGGCAAAATATGACAAGTGACCTTTCATGAACCTGTGTTTCAGCTTCTTTCAGCTTGTACCCATAAGGGAAATGCCTGGCTCCACATGCTTTATAACACCCCAAACTGGTATTACGTATCCAGAAAGAAAAATCTAATGTCAAGAGAAATGCTGAAGTTTTGTGATACTTGAATAGTTTTGGGCCGTGAACTCCTAGGTACATAACACTTCTCCACTTTTGTAATGCTGCAATCAATATCACTGCACAATTAATGATATTGCTCCCTGATTAGAAAGTTATCTTGCACTTTGCGTTTCCTTTAAAAATCATCCAGTAGGTAATGGTAAAGGTGTAGGTAAAGACCCTCTGTGTAACTTTACCTTTTCAATGGGACTGATTATAACAATTTCTTCAGATAATGAACAAAATCTCCATGACTATATTTAGGTGAGACAAATGCATGAAGTTATTTTAAAATGTCTCCTGGCCTACGTGGAATTTTTCAAAGCAAACATCTGTTCAAGGATTTTGTCATGTGCTGGGGAACAAGCTTCCTTTTATCCAATTCATTATATGGTTAAATCCCTAAAAGAACAAAATGCAGGTACAGCATTTCCTTTGTACTTCAGTGATACTGAAGCTGCTACACATTTTTAACTCTGACATCAGTAGAGAATCCAGACATGCTGTCAGTTACATGAACTATTCTGCCCTGAGAAGACTGTACAACTTTGGCTAACACAGTATAGGTGCTCTGTTATTAAAAACAGAACTTGATGGTGAGTAGTTAATCTTTTCTTAATACAGAAGAAGGAATTGGATAGGTAATTCCTTGACAACCATTTGAAAAAAGCCACCCTGAATGGGTAGAAACTTAGCATTTTCATAGAAAGGCAGTAGTTCATCTGCTTTCATACAGGGTGTTATTTAAAGTCTACAGCAAATAGTATCTACCATCAGATTAAGAGCAATGAGGAAAAGATTTCTGAAAACCCACTCTCACAAAGTTGGGAAATACTTAGATCTCACAGTTTTAACTCCCACACTGGAGTTAGGAACTTTATTTATTTTCCCTTCCCAGAAATGTGTCCAGCTGCCTCTGGAATTAGAATTAATACTGATGTCAATAATTTCCTCTGTATAGAGACATATTTGCATAAATTGACTGGATATTAATTGTTTTGGTCCCCACTTATTTTAAATGGCTTTTGCAATATAATGCTTTCCTTTTGCATAATTTCTACATGTCTTTGTGAGATCTCTTCTGTTGAATTTTTATTATTCTGCTATGTAGGCCAACTCTGCTATTTCTGCTGTATAAGCACTGCTTCAAATGGGAGCATTACTCTGATACCATTTATCATGTGGTTACTGTCTTCTGACCTTTTCCAGGATCAACAGAGTATTCTCTAACATGTTGATCACAACTGTAACTAATATTTTAATAACATCATGTTAGCCATAAACACAAGAAAATATCAGTACTGTTCAGCTGTGTACCCAAGCAATGTTCCAGCAATCTGGAAGCAAGATCCAGCTCAGGATTTCTCTCTGTAACTTAAAATGAAGCTACCTAGTTTTTAATATTTAAAAGTATAGTGTTGCTTGATTGAGAAATCATAATGTCATAGAAGTACAGTGGAGCTGGATGGCACTTTCTCTGGCTTTCACCAAGGAATGTGCTTACTTTTTTTAAAAAAATATTTATTAGTTTATAATCTAATTCTTGATGCAGTATCTGGGACACTATATAATTTTGCAGAAAATTAAACTAAACTGGGCATAGTGCCCAGAAAATGTGTCCACACCCTTAAAAAATTGCTCAAGAGGTCTAAAAATTAAAAACAATAAGACAAAAGGGAGGTAAATAATGGTCCATGATGCATTGACTTGACTAGACAACATTTTCACTAAACCCTGAAGACACTGGTAACACATACTACAGCTTTCCTTTGTCTAAGGCAGCAGCTTCTACAGGTGAGCCAATATTTTCCTAATGCACAGTAGTTCAGCAGGTAGCTCTGTCACATGAGGGCTAATCCTACTCCTATGGAACTCTGGCAAAATAGCACAGGCTCACAGACACAGTTAGCTGTTGCCATGCTGGGAGTTTCAGAGCTTTAAACTTGGTCAGTAACTCCAGCTCAACAGGGCTTATCCAGGTGTGTGTGTTTATCCACGTGCCTAAGAATGGCCTTACACTCAGCAGGCCACTCGCCAGTGGAACTGGTCCTTCCACAGTCACCAGAGCAGGATGAGTCTGTCGGATTGCCTGGAGCTCTGCAGGGCATGCCCACAGCCAGCACCAGGCTGGGCCTGGCCTAACCGAGGAACCTTTTGCTTACTCCCTCTTTGCTAACACAAAGCTTTTATCCTGTTTCTGAACTGCCTTCAAAGGAGCAAGGAGTCTTCCTGTGCAAGCTTTACTCTTTGTTAAAGACTAGGACACTCACAGGAGTTAGAAAAAGACCTTTTTGATCTCCCCCTTCGGATGAGAAATCCTTAAATCCCTGCTTATTGGATTTCTGCGTGGAAGTTCTATGATTTTTCAACTTGAGTGACATTTTTGAATAAAAACTGTGAAGACCACTGTGTTGTGTGTGCTAATTGCAAGTGCATGTGTGAGAATTTCCTTTGAAATTAGTAATCTAGGTGTGAAGATAAGCAGTTGATGGAAAGGTGTTGCCATGGGCTAGGTGCTGAGGTTGCTCAGCTTAACCAAAATGGCAATTGTGTTATTGAGCACATGCAGTGGTAGAACTCTACAAGGCTCAAGGAGCCTTGTAAATTATATTCCTCCAAAGCCAAGACACCTAAAGAACTTAATGTGTCTCAGTGTTTTACTTCAAGCACAGTAAGACAACCTAAAAAGAGCCTTAGGTGTGAAGTCTCACAATGAATTTACTTCCCTGCATTTACTGTGGCGGGAGCTGGTTTCTCCAGCAGACATTATGATTGACTGCATTGCAAACTGAGATAGGTCTTGGAACATATTGTTAATGTCTTACAGATTTTGCAGATTCATTCTGGTTTTGTTTGGTTTTCAGGGCTCTTGCTGATGTTATGCGACCTCAAGGTCCTTGTACAACAGATCATATGGAAAGAGATCTAAACATTGTAGTACATGTGCAGCATTACGAAAACATGGAGACGAGACCTCCTCCAAATAACTTACGTAAGTTGCATTTCAACTTTATCAATAGCTGGAATGCTGGCACTGAAAAGAGCATTATGAAACTCATATTGCTGAATGTCAAATGAGGATCTAGAAGACATGGGTTCTTGCAAATCAGAAATATTAATTTTCTCAGAATTAGAAAAATTTAGTTTCCTAGTGCAACAGTGAGTGAAATAAATTTTGAATAGAAAAATTAGTTGTTATATTTAGTTTTAATTTTCTTGGTTGACTAATACTGGTTTTGTATCTTTGTCTTCTACCTGTTATTTTTGCTCAGCTCATCACCCTTTGCCTTAGTCTGTGTTTCATTACACCAAAATACAAATTGTTATAGTTACAGCTGAATTTAACAATATGTTTCATAGGGCTGTAACATCCAGTAGCAAAGTGGTCTCATTAGGCTGTTAGATCACATCCACTAGTATAATAGTCAAATATTTCCCTGGATAGCATCAAGTTGTATGTGGTTTTCATTTTCTCAAGGGAAAGATGAGAAGATTATTATTTTAAGTTTTACATAGTATTTTTATTCTGTATCTGCTATTACATGTTTACGTTACTGAAGGCAAGAAAAAAGTGAACCTTGGAGCTGGAAAGGATGAGATATGGTGATATTTCAAATGGTTCTGAAATCCTAGGCAATTTATTTCCCAGTCTCTATTAGAACACAGTACAGATCTTTCTCATGCTCAGATACATGTTCCTCTTGTCATAATGCCACTGCAAATTTAATTTGGATACTTGTTTATGTAACTCATATTCAACAGTATCTTAAAAATATACACATATATATATGCTTAAATTATGTATATATTTACAAAATCAAGTTTAATATATTTATAAAATAAAAAGGTATCATTCAGGAAAGTTTAAATTGTTAGGCAGTGAGTGGCTTTATACTGTGCTGTAGATCAGTGTAGATGTGCATTTTACTGCAAGTATACTTTTTCTGCATTGGTATTTGCATTTTGAAACATTTAAATTATGTGCACTCCTCTTTTTCTTAACTCTAGAAAGAAAGTTTACCTGTATTTGGAGCTCTGTTTGGACTGCAGATATTGGTGTGCTTTTTTTGTGAAAGGGTGTAAAGACAATGGGAGAAAGAACAGCTCCACGTGCTGCCTGCACTGCTGGTGCCTGCTTTGGGGAGAGGCTGATGGCCATTCCTTATGTGCATCCTTACAGAGTAATGGGAGACAATTAAAACTGTGCCCTCGAATAAAGGTGCCACATACAGGGAGATGTGACATCTCATTATGTGACACCTCATCTATCTGCCCTGCTCTCCAGCAAAGAGCTTCCACCTGGGGCTCTGCAGATGTGCAGTGCAGTGAGGGAAGCACACACCCTACCTGTGTAAAAACACCACCTCTGGAGGGGTACCTAGGCTTCTCTCTCAGTCAGAGGTGCTCTAACACCCTGCAGTTTGACTTCTGAAGGGATAATAAGAATGTGAATGTGCACTGCATCTCTTTGCTCCTTGCTGATGTCTGATCCTTCCCATGACCATGTTTGCAGGAACGGTACCAAATAGTAATGAAGTTTGGGTCCATTATTTTCTCTCACATGTAAAGTGTTTATTCAGAATCCCAGTTAATGAAGGAACCAGAAAGTAAAGAGGTTCTTGCTGCATTTACTTTATATAGATTTTTGAAATGATCACACTGAGATATTTTGTTTAAAACTCTTTGTGTATACACTACAATATGCAACTAACACAGCAAGCCTTTAAACTTATTGTTTCTCGGATTTGAATTCAGATTTAAGCCTTGCTTCTAGGACCTCTTGCATATAAATGCGAGTCAGGGCCACATAGGTACTGCATCAAGGAGGAGAAAAAAAACAACATCTTTAATGGGATGTTGGTTTATGCTGACCCCAGACATCCATACCACCTCTGTCTCAGAATATGGCCCTCTGGCACAGAGGGAAGAATTATATGTGAAGCAGCTCTTCCACCACTGCAATTTACATCACAGAAGCACTGCTGCTACTTTGGAGCTGTCCTAATCTCTTGGGTCATGTAGAGGGGCAGTCCCAACAATGCCTTTTATGCATCTCGGGCAGTCCTGCTACTGAAGGAAACCTCAGAAGCCAGCAGCTCTGGTGGTAATTGTTTCAGTCTTTAATCAACTTTATGCATTAAGTCAATCATTTTAGATTGTTAAGTGCAAAGCTTCAAGTGGTGAAATTACTCAAGGCATTTTCTAACCAATATTGCATACATTTACTTCATAGCAAGGGAATTCAGTTTTTGCTTTGTATTTGTTCTGTATTTGTTGCCTTTTTATTCTCATAAACTCATGCAAAACATGACTAAATGACCTACTAGAATTAGCCAGAACATCACAAGTGATTGAAATCTGTTGAAAACATACATTTATGGCACAGGAAAAAAGTCTTTATATAAAGACAAAACTATTAAGACAAAATTTTCCAGGATCAGTATCTTAGGTATTCAGAATTTCATTGTGAAGTTGTTAAACATTGCAAGAGTGGATACTACAGACAGAAACTTTGGGAGTGTAGCACCCAAAGTGTAGTTACCTACTACCATGGCTGGAAAAATGTCAGGCTTTTTCAGGGTGCTTTTAAATAACCAAATAAATTAGACTGAATCACAGTTTTCATAGAAATTCTATTCCAGATCTTATACAGAGAAAATGAAATTGTGTAAAATTATTGCATCATAAACTTCAATACTAATTTTTAAAGTTTTCTGAGTTACCACTTTATCTACTTGCCATCTCATAATGAGACTTAATTATTTGAGGCTGATGTACTTTTCACATTGATCCATAAGTATGAACAGGGCAGGAGGAATTTCTTATTCATTACATATCCCTTCCATACTGTGTCTTTCAGACAAGCTGTTGAAAGCCAAACATTATTAAAAATGTTCTAATTTGAACGTTCATTTGCTCTTTCTTGAAAACATTTTGCTGATGTTGCCAACACATTCTGAAAGTGTTTTGTGAAGGGAAGCTCTTTTGTCAAAATGACAAACTTCACATGATCTCTGACACTGAAAATGAGTGTGTTTCTGTTTCTGAACTGTTTGTTACCAGAGGACAAGGATTTTCTCTGCTGCCTGCAGCTATTTGCCAGAACTCACAGGCCAGTGGAAGCCCAAAAGCTCTTTTCAGAGTCTTGCTGTTTACTCAGTTTCTTGTCCCTTCTTTTTTTGATACTCAGAAAAATCCAGACATATTGGAGGTTCCTGAAAAACACTGATTTTTTATTTTGCACATGTGAAACCAGACAACCTAGATGATTTTTACTAAAAGCTATTTTGTCTTTAGTGGTTGTTATCATTATTTTCTTCCAGTACTGTGCTTTCCATAGGATTGCTTTTCTCTTATTCCCCTTCATTCATACACGTTAGGATGTTGTGGTGCTTTGTAAACAAGCAGCAGGTATCTATCAAAAAGTGTAACATTCAAGTCTTCTAACATGAGATGTTAAATAAAAGAAAGTAAAAAAGTTATGTTAAAAACATCAAACCAAAAGCAAACCTTTCTGCAGAATTTGAGTTGTTGTGTTAATCACTGACTTGAAAGAATTTTAAGAAAGCAGCAGCAATCAAGGTATTCTTTTCTCTTGTTTTGTTTTTTTTTTTTTTTACTTTTTTTCCTCTACTTATTGTGTTAGAAGTAAGGGATTTATTTAACTTGTTGGGATTATTACACTGATGGAGTGGGAGTTAGGAGGCTTCATAGCTACATCCTCATTTCTGAAACGTGATTACTGCTATTATTTCTGATTCATGATCCATGATAGCAGAGTGAAGAAATACTTCAGTTGGTGCAATTCACAGTCACTTTTCCTAATGATCAGTAAAAGCTCTGTTACTCTTTCCCAAGAACCACAAGAACCATCTTGCACTAGTAAATTTAAACCATTTATGCAGGCTCACATGATAAAGGTGACTTTAAAAGGAAGCCAATTATAGATCAAGAAGCTTTTTAAGATGAAAAATGCTTTTAGTTAGTTTGACATCTATGAATTATTACTTTACTTTGAATTTAGCTTTAAAAAAGTGGATTTTAAACACATGATCCAAAGAAGGAAATGTTTCAAATAGCCAGTTTTAATACTGTCTAAAGATTTGCAGCACATGTGATTAAAATGACCATCTAAAAAATATATTCAGAGTGGTGTTTGCTGCTGCATTCGATTGTCAGTTGTCCTGGATACTGACTAACAACAAATGCTAATGCTAAAACAAAGCTATTACATCTCTATAACTGGTTCCTTATGATAAGTTAACTTCTGTTTTTTCTTTATTTCTGTATTGAGACAGTAGGCATTTAAATAGGAGGGTATTTTTTTGAAGTCCTTGTACATTGGAATAAAAATTCTGTATTGTATATTCCATTCTTCTTCCCGTTTCTGCTCATAGAAGCTCAGTCTATGTTTTCCAGTGGCAGGAATTGTCACTAGTTTGACACTGTGAAAATAAAATTTGCAAGAATATTTTTCAGTTTTTCATCACTAGTGAATAAGCTTTTTTGTTGTTGTCTTTGGCAAACTAATTATTTTTATGTTTAACATGCATAACATGTTTAAATCAGATGATTCATTCTCTTGTATTGCCTAAATATAATTCCTACTGTTGGTCATTGGAAATAAGCAGGGAGACAGGGAGACTTACTAAGAAACTTTGGTAAAGAGAAAGTCCTGTTGTTCAAAATGTAAAGCTCATCAAACATGAGAACTAATTTGTTTACACAGTAACTGTGGACAATTAATTGCATGATATTGAAGAAGTGGTAGTTGAGGATGAGCAGCATTACTGTACCATTGTGCTTCTGGCAACAGGGGCCTTGCGACTCCACCAAACCCCTTGTTGGGACAAAGGCTTGCAAAATGCAAAGGATTGAGCAAATAACAATATTTTGCTTCCTTAGTGTCTGGGTTGTTTGATTGCAGTGAAATGCTTTTTTAGGCCTGGCTTTGTGCATGGGTTTAGCCCAGAGGAATGGCACTGTTTTCTT